AAGTCTCCAGTTAGTCACTTGTTATTGAAAGTGAAGGAGAGACAGGTGGGAAGTAGAATTAAGTGAGGCCAGATAATTGATTTTACATTTTTTCTTGTATATTTTTCCAGAGTTCATGTCTATACAAACAATAAATTATAACCCCTCCAATCTATACAAAAAAAAAAAAAAGAGAACTGAGAGAGGCAAGAGGCAAGATGATGTATGATGTACAGATCAGTACCTTCATTTCAGAATCTGATCTGAGAAAAGAAGACATGCACCAGGTCAAAGATACAGCTGCCTCAAGGGGCCTGCAAGAATGAAAATTGCCTTATAACCTGATAATATTTTTATAGGCATGTTAACAATACAGAATAGTGCTGGGTGCAGTGGTATACGCCTGTAATCCCAGCAGCTAAGGGAGGCTGAGGCAGGAGGATCTCAAGTTCAAAGTCAGCCTCAGCAACAGTGAGGTCCTAAACAACTCAGTGAGACCCTGTCTCTATAAAACACAAAATAGGGCTGGAGATGTGGCTCACTGGTCAAGTGCCCCTGAGTTCAATTTCCTGTACCAAAAAGACAAAAACAAAAAACCCCTCTCTACAGTAACTGATGTGGGTCAGAAGAAGGAAGTGCTTATCCAGGTGGCCCCTCCTAGACAAAGCTCAGAGAGGCATAGGAGGCTCTCCTTTCTGGAGAAGTACTGGAGGCACTGCATGAAACAGAAGTACACCTGTCCAGTCCATCACCACTGGTCTTTTTGAAAAAGCATCTACCCAGCCAGTGGCACTACACCTCCTTGTAAGTATTTCTCAGTAAACCTTCTATCTCATATCTTATTTCTGGTGTGGTCCTTGGTCTCTTGGCAACCTATCCCACTGCCCTAGCACAACTGGGTGGTAAATGTGACACAGATCAATGAAACAAAATTCAATAAGAACACAGAATGTGGGCTGGGGTTGTGGCTCAGTGGTAGAGCACTTGCCTAGCATGTGCTGATTGTGCATGATACATCTAGATTGTATCAGAGTACACTAAAATACATAATCACAACAAAAGTTTATTTCTACAATTGAATATTCACATGCTAAGAGATTAAGGACTGCAAGTTGGAGGTCAGCGTGGGCAATTTAGTGAAATTCTGTCTCAAAATTTAAAAGAAGAGCTGGGAGTATAGCTCTGTGGTATAGCGCCCCAAAGTTTAATCCCCAGTACTACAAAATAAAGTTAAAGAGACTGAGAAAATATCCACAGATCCTGTATCTGATAAAGGAATTCTAACCAAAAAATATTTAAAAAATGAAACTTGATATAAGAAAACAAATATCACAGTCAAAAATTGGGCCAGGGGCTAGGGTTGTGGCTCAGCAGTAAAGAGCTTGCCTAGCATGGGTGAGGCCCTGGGCTCATTCCCCAGCACCACATACAAATAAATAAAGATATTGTGTCCAACTACAACTAAAAAAAAATATTTTTTAAAAAGCCTGTTTAAAAAAATTGGCCAAAGGCCAGGCATGATAGTGCATGCTTTTAATCCCAGTGGTTTAGGAGGCTGAGGGCAGGAGGATCACAAGTTCAAAGCCAGCCTCAGTGATTTAGCAAGGTCCTAACCAGATAAGTGAGACCTGTCTCAAAAAATAAAAAGGGCTGAGGATGTAGATCAGTGGTAATGTGCACCTGGGTTCAATGTGTAGTATAAAAAAAAAAAAGTTAAAAATTAAACAAAAATTTACCATGCAAGCCGGGCATGGTGGTGCACGCTGTAATCCCAGTGGCTGGCGGGTGTGTGGGGGGGGAGCAGGGAGAGGGGGCTGAGGCAGGAGGATCCCAAGTTCAAAGCCAGTCTCAGCAATGGCAAGGCACTAAACAACTCAGTGAGACCCTGTCTCTAAATAAAATACAAAAAAAGGGTTGGGGATGTGGTGCAGTGGTTGAGTGCCCCTGAGTTCAATCCCCATACCAAAAAGTAAATAAATAAAATAAAATTTACCATGTAACTCAGCAACTCCTTTTTTAGGACTCAAGAAAAATAAAAACAAATGTGTACATAAAGACTTGTACATAAGTGTTCAAAGTAGATTTATTCACAATAGTACAAAATTAGAAATGATTCAATAATTCAAATGTCCTTCAACTGAATGAATAAATAAAAATGTGGTATAGCCATACAATGGAGTTCTAGTCAACAATAAAAAGGAAAGAAATACTAACTGGTAAAACATGAATGAACCTCAAAAACATGAGTGAAAGAAGCCAGATGCAAAAGACTAAAATGTATGAGTTCATTTACATGAAATTGCCAGAAAAGGCAAATTTATAGAAATAGCAGATTGAGGGTGGGAAGGAGGATTGACTGTAAATGGGCATAATGAATTTGGGGGTGTGTAATGTAAATGCTCTAAAACTGAATTGTGGTAATGGTTGCAAAACACTAGTCACTGTTTATTGTAGTCATTAAGGAATCTAAAGTGTTAGATGTTCTATCTCAACAATATTTCATTATAATTTAGTATTTTATCCAGTACCATTTAATAGTTTAAATACTTTGATCATATAGTTTCACTCTGCTTCTCAGAATAATAGTCCTAATGGTTTACATCTGTCTTTAGCCTCACTGTATTTGATACCTTTCAAGTTTCATTTTATCTCAATTTTATTTTGACATAATTTCTCATAAATTTGTCTTCAATGCTGCTCCTAGATTGGTTAGAGAAATTTTTGACTTAAGCAGATACAAACCTAGCATGATGGTGTACTCCTGTAATCCCAGTGAGTCAGGAGGTTGAGGCAGGAGAATCACAAATTCAAGGCCAATATCAGCAATTTAGTGAGACCCTGTCTCAAAAAAAATAAATAAATAAATAAATAAAAAGGATGGGAGATATAGCTCAGTGGTAAAGTCGCCCTGCCTGGGTTCAAACCCCCACCCCCCCAAAAAAGATATTTCACAAAATAATTAAGTTTGCTATGTACCTATGCCTAATCATACATCATCAATTTTAGAGAACATTTGGCGTAATTGTCCTTAACATTATGTCAAGTAGTCCTAATTTCTACATCTTTAGGGATTCAGTACCTCAGAGATAGTCATTCCAGTCTCAGAAACTCAAATACAGTGGTCCCTTTTTTTTTTTTTTTAATTTTTGTGAGTAACTTTTATTATGATGGTGTCTTTGTTGACTCATAAGTTATTTTTAATGTTTATTTTATTTATTTATTTTGTGTGGTGCTGAGGATGGAAACCAGAGCCTTCCGGGTGCTAGGCGAGCACTCTACCGCTGAGCTGAGCCACAGCTCCAACCCAAGTGGTCCCTTCTTAACTGCAGGGAATTTATTCCAAGACACACGGCTTTCGCTTCCTTGGGGACTTCCTAAAATCTTCTAGAGTACTAAATCCTATATGTACCATGTTTCTTCCCATACATGCATACCAATGATAAAGCTTAATTTATTTATTAGTAACAGATTAACAATAACTAATAATTAAATTATTACAATAAACTGTAATAAAAACCGTGTGAATGAGGTTGCTCTCTTCCTCTCCTTCCTACTCTTTCAAAATATCTTAGTGTACTGTAGATTTTTTGCAACCTCAGCTTTTTTTCTTTCTTTCTGCCCCCATTTTCAGTTAAAGGAAACATTTTGTAGTTTCTCTTTGGCATATAAAATTGCCAGTATCATAACTCTTGTACTTGGGAGTCACTATTAAATAAGTTCTGCAAAACCATGACAACAGATCTGATGACTGACACACTAAGTGACTAATGAATGGGCAGGTAATGTAGATCAAATAGATACGCTGTGCAAAGGGACGAGTCACATTTAGGGCAGGACAGTTGGAAAGTGTGAAATTTCATAACACTACTTAGAATAGTATGCAATTTAAAACTCATAGTGAAACAGTAATGATGGTGGATAAAATATTGATAAAACGAACATGCTTATGTGCCAAATTTTTATAGGCTGAAGGAATGCCTTTCAAAATAGGAGCAAAGGGAGGATAGGCCACAAAGAGGTACTTTCTTAGTAAAACAAGACAAAACAACAACAACAAAACAAAAACAAAAACAGGGGCTAGGGATGTGGCTTGGTGTTAGAGCGCTTGCCTAGCATGTGTGAGGGCGGTACTGTGTTAAATTCTCAGCACCACATAAAAATAAATAAAATAAAGGTATTGTGTTCATCTACAAATAAAAAAAAAAGAAAAACAAACCAAAAAACATGTATTCATTATTCCTGTGACATAATATAAAAATAAAATTATTTTAAAAATTTTAACAAAACTATAAATAAGGGTCCTGCACATGGCTATTAAGAGCTGGGTTATATCTTAACCTAAGTGAAAGAGAATAGCATGCACTCGCACAGCTTGTCAGTTGGGACCCCTGTCGGCAGTAGGCTAAGTGTCTGTTCTAGTATGAAAGTTCTGTATTCTTTAAAATAAACCACTGTGCACGAGATTATTTTCAGATTTCATTACAATTAGGAAAGATTGAAAAGCAGGTAAATGGAGAAAAGCTTTTTCATTGTTAGGGGAAAAATCTGAAAATCTTCCACATAAGCTGCTCCTAATTAGAGTTTGGGACTGAAGAGCAATCTTTGAACACAATTTAATTTTGACCTCCCGGGTCTCCTCCCCGCTGAAGAGAATTCTAACACTGGGCTTTAAGAAGAACGTAAAAAAAAAAAAAAAAAAAAATCCGAGTCTTAGCTAAGGTTTTCTCCACGGAAAGGAAATTTGCTCAGCATCATATATAGAGGACTGAGCTATTTCTACCGGACAGAATACGCATGCTAAATGTCGGACACAAGTCTTTTCCTTTGAAGCAAACAGCGTAGCACAACCAACGATCTGGAGCCCAGCGTTCACTATTGTGTTAGCACCGGCGGCGGAAGGACTTAGCTACCGCGATGTTAAAGAGTCCTTCTTTGTTCAGCCCCGGCCGAAGACGCAGGGCGCGGTGTTCTTCCGCGCTCGCTGCGCAGTCCCCGCCCCTCCGCGGCCCTGGAGAGCTGCCATTCGGCCCCGGAGTAGCTCCGCGCTCCCAGAATGCACCGGCAGTCCGCGGGAAACCAAAATGGCGAAGGGCTGTAGCGAAGTGGGCTGTGTTTGAGGCCGGTATAGGAAGGCTCACTCTACCCACAACCCTCGTCCCCGAGGACCTCGTTTTGTGCGTGCGTATGTGCGGGGTTCCCGGTGGGGCGGGTACCCAGTAAGTGTTCGGAGTCGCAGGGGAAGCGCCCACGGGGACGTGATTGGTTATATTTTCCTGTATGAAGCGGTTGGCACCACTGAAGTGACCGAATGAGGTGAGACCTTGGCCTGGGAACCGACTCTTCCGGAGGAGGTGGGGGTGGGGGAAAGAGAAGGAAGAAAGGAAGCAAGTATAAAAGGGAAAGATGGAGGATCGAGGTGGGGGTGGGGGGCTTCTGTCTGTGGGTGCCTTTGCATTTATGTGTATGTTGAAAAGAATGGATGGGAAGGAATAGTCATTTAAATGTTGGACAAGCATAGGGACGAAAGGAAAGAGCAGGGCGTTGGGGGATTCTGTTGGAGGAACAAGATAAAACGTTGAGACGGGAAAGCTGCGTTTGGAGGGCAGGAAGGAACCTGGGGGCGGGAGTCTGTTGGAGGGGCAGGATGAACCTGGTGACGAGGGGGTGGGGAACTGTGAGGAGCCGTTAGCAAATTGGGACTGGAGGAGATGGGGGAACCAAGTGGAGGGGCTGCCTTGGGCCTTAGGGGGCGCTAAGGGTGGTAGAATTGTGTAGAATTGGAGTGAGGGGGATCGAATGGATGGGTTGGATATAGTATGAGAATAAGGGGAACACTGAAGGGGAGTCCGGAAGCAAACCCTGAAAGCTGAAAGGGAAAATGAGATGGGGGGAGGTACCTTATATTTGGAGCGCACAAGAAAACCTGAGACATTTCTAATGTTCAGTTAAATTTAATTCATATCCCTTCTTGGGATTTGTATTGAATTCAGTTTTACAACTGAGGTAATTACGGTTTAAAGGATTTTAACTAATTTGCCAAGATTTCTAAACAACGTAGTTGGGTAATGCCAGAACTCTTAACTGCATGTTTTACAATCTGGTGTCCTTGGTTGCTAGAGTTTTTCTTTGGAAGCAATTAGCAGAAACAGATGGATTTATCGGGGTGTTTTGACGAACATTGAGGGTTCATGAATAATGGGGAAAGGTTATAGAATACTACTGTGTTTAAAACATTTAACTTTGGTTAAGGATAGAAAGCATCTAATACTAATCCGAATATGAAAACACAGGTAGACCTGTGTCTTAACATACAGGAAAGCACCATGTGAGGTCAGTACAGAGCTAGAAATATGTAAATAGTGGCTGATTTAATTTGACTCCAGATGCTCTAGTGGTAGTAACTTTCTCCTTCAGATCTATTTCATGTGACCCTCCTGTATACTACTTTGCCTACAGGATGGTTTTGATTTCCATGTTTTTATTTTTTCTTGAGAATTTCCTTTTTTGGGGGGAGGGGGGCAGTGAATTACAAAGACAGTTGAATTTAAAAGTATTTATTGTGGATTAAAAAAGATGTACTTAAATTCTTATGTGACCTTTTCAGAGGTTCGACAATGATTTAAGTGGAACCATTTTGACTAAGGCTTTAGGTGTCCAGTAGTTTAGGTAAGAAAAGAGTTGATTTTAAATTACTTAACATAAAGCATTCTGTTTTGTATTGGGAATGTTATTTACACTCTCAAGTACTTGCAGTGATGGCTTGAGAGGAAATACAAGGTGAAGTTTTTTTGTTGTTTTGGGATTCCTAAATATAGAAATGTATTTGAATTCACGTTTTAAAATCTGCTCACCTTCAGTTTTTTCTGAAGTACTAAAAATATTCTAAGTATTTGAATTAAGAATGCACCTGTTTGGGCTGGGCTTGTAGGTCAGTGGTGGAGCATTTGCCTCACATATATAAGGCAATGGGTTTGATCCTCGGCACCACATAAAAATAAATAAATAAAATAAAGGTATTGTGTCCATCTACAACTAAAAATATTAAAAAAAAGAGAATGCACTTGTTTCCTGATAGCGCATACCTATACTGTTAATGGGTATTAATGGAAAGTTAAACCTATCAAAATTAAATGCACACACAGTTTTAGGATTAAATGAATAGAAATAGTTAAACCTTTTTTCTAGACAAAACAAATTTAATAGTTCTTTTAGTTATGCATGTTACCTCAAAGCTCTGTTCTGAGAAGAATTTTATTCTGTGTATTCTGCAAGGGGTCATTAACTGTTTTTATTTTTTAAATATTTTTAGTTGTAGGTGGACACAATACTTTTATTTCATTTATTTATTTATTTTTTCTTTTAATGTGATGCTGGGGAATTGAACCCATGCCTCAAGTGTGCTAGGCAAGTGCTTTACCACTGAGCTACAACCCCAGCCTTATTAATTCTTTGATGTCATGAATTATAGACCTTTTCATTAGGTTTTTGATAAAACAGTTTGATTTATTCATATTCTAGATACTCTTTTAGCAATTGGGGAAATTGGCCTCTTAGGCGTTGCCATGATCAAAATCTGTAGTTGCTGGTTTGTAAAGTAGAATTTAACTGCTATTTTAATCAGTCTGCACTTTCATGAACTGCGTTCCTTGGTTGATATTCATGCTTGTTTCCCCTGTTCTTAAAGAAAGTTTGTTTGTTATAGGGAAATAAGTACAACAACCCTAAATTGGACAAAATTGTGGATGTTTCTTATTAATTAGAGTAGTATTACATAATAATACTTTCTGCAATGATCATCAGTGTTCTGTTACTGCTATTCCAATAAGCCACTAGCCACATGTGAATATTGAACATTAAAATGTAACCAGTGAGACTGAGAACTGAATTATAATTTAATTTCATTAAAACTAAAATTTAAGTGGCTATATGTAACAGGGGCATATCAATTAGGGGTTGTTACATCAATATATTAGGAATTATTAATCTATGAAGCATGGAGACCACAGGAACCCAAGGATGAGGAACTGTCTTAGAATTGAGGAAATTTGCCAGGTGCTATGGCACATGCCTGCAATTCCAGTGACTTGGGAGGCTAAGACAGGAGGATTGCAAGTTCAAGGCCAGCCTCAGCAATTTAGAAAGGTCCTAAGCAACTTAGACCCTGTCTCAACATAAAAAAAAAAAAAAGAACTGGGGGATGTAGCTCAGTGGCAAAGGGTATTTGGGTTAAATCCCCAACACCCTCTCTCCCCTCCCCCCAGAAAAAACAAACAATTCAAATTTTCACTTTAACATGAAGAATTCTTCATTTTTGTCATATATCATGTCTTTGACTTACCTATTTTCATATAACAATAATAAATGCTTCTCTAGTTTTTTAAGATTTAAGATTCTGTTTCCTAAGTCAAGAAACAACAAACAACAGAAAATGGAGATTAGGAATGTTTACTGTTAATTTTATACTAAAAAAAAAAACAAAACTTAAGGAAAATATCAAACATGCATAGTGAACCAGGGGAATATAATGAACTTAATAAGCATTATTGGTTCTTGTTTTATCTGTACTTCTACCCATTCCACTCCATTGCTTTTATTATTATTATTATTTAAATTTTAATATTTATTTTTTTAGTTTTCGGCGGATACAACATCTTTGTTTTTGTATGTAGTGCTGAGGATTGAACCCGGGCCATACGCATGCCAGGCGAGTGCGCTACCGCCTGAACCACATCCTCAGCCCTTGTTTTTATTATTATAAAAACATCTTAAGGTAGATTTACACATTCTGAAATGTACAAATCTTAACTTTTTATTTTTATTTTTTGGTACTGAGGACTACTGAGCTATATCCCCAGTCCTTTTTTAAATTTTATTTTATTTTTATTTTAAGACAGGGTGTTTCTGAATTGCTGAGGCTAGCCTCAAACTTAATTGTTTTTTTTTGGGTGGGGGTGGTGGTATTGGGGATTGAACTCAGGGGCAGTTGACTACTGAGCCACATCCCCAGCCCTACTTTGTATTTTCCTTAGAGACTGTCTCACTGAGTTGTGTAGGGCCTCACTTTTGCTGAGGCTGGCTTTGAACTCCCATTCTTCCTTCCTTAGCCTTCCAAGCCCCTGGGAATACAGGCATGTGCCCCAGTGCCTAGCTGGCCTCAAATTTATAATCCTTCTGCCTCAGCCTCCTGGATCACTGGGATTACAGTTGTGCACCACCTTGCCCAGCAACTGTATAGTTTTTTTTAATAACAGTTCTCTTGAGATATAATTCACTACCATGTTTATATATACATAATTCATATCTAATGGGCCTTTTTTATTTATATGAAGTGCTGAGAATCAAAACTTTCTCACATGTTAGTCTAGTGCTCTACCACAGAGCCACACTCCCATTCCTCACATCCACCTTTTTAAGGCATGCAATTCTGTGTGTGTGTGTGTGTGTGTTTTTTTTTTTTTAGCATAGTCAGAGTCTACAGTTATTACCATTGTCTAATTTCAAAATAACTGTCATTATGCCAAAAAAGAAAAAGAAAAACCCCCAATCTCTATTTAATAGCAGTCACTCTTCATTCCCTTCTCCCTCAGCCCTTGGAACCGTCAATCTGCTTTCTGTGCCTGTAGATTTGTCTATTCTGGACATTGCATGTAGTGGAATCATACAATATGTGATCTTGTGTTTGACTCCGTTTATGTGACCTAATGTTTTCAAGATACATCCATGTTGTAACAAGTATCAATACTTTATTGTATGAAAATACATATTTTGTCTATTTGTCAGTTGATGGACATTTATATTGTTTTCATTTTTTTGACTTGTTAGTAATGCTGTAATAATCGAACAGGATTTGTGTGGAGGTGTATTTTCATTTCTCTTGGATACATATTTAGAAGTGGAATTACTGTTTAAACATTTTGAGAACTATCAGACTTTTCTAAAGACTGTTCCATGCTATAGTCTCACCAGTATGAGGTTTCTAATTTCTCAATGTCTTCACCAAGACAATTAAGTCTTTTTGATTATAATCATCCTACATAGTCTCACCAGTATGAGATTTCTAATTTCTCCATGTCTTCACCAAGACAATTAAGTCTTTTTGATTATAATCATCCTGGTGGGTGGGAAGTTGTATTTGCTGTTTCTATTTGCAATTCCCTGATAGCTGATGAGGTTGAGCATATTTCCACATACTCATTGGAAATAATAAATGCTTCTTTGGTCTTCTTTAGTTTTTTAAGATATAAGATTCTGTTTCCTAAGACAACCCACTAAAAACTGGGTTGTCTTAGGGCTGGGGTTGTGGCTCAGTGGTA